GTTTATGATGCGGAAGTGAATGGAAGTGGAAAAAAGCATATAAATTACCGAACGCTTTATCGTGAACGTGAGTCCATCCAATGGCAATGATTCGACAAAAAATTGCATATTCCTAACGAATATTACATTCATTGGATATTGCTTGAAATGTGTTCTTAAAACCATTAAATGCACAACGGAATCTATTTGGTTGAATATTGAAAAAAAAAATCCTCACTAATATTCTGTACAAGGTCTGTTTCGTGAGCGTTGCGACGTCGTCAATTCACATAATTAGAGTGCATTATTTTGTGGTGAATAAAATGAACAGACACCAAACATGAGCAGATACTGTTTCAATTTCACAATTGACTACAGTTCTACGAATTTTTTATTGTTGCTCATAAACAGTAAGAACATAACATTGTCATTATCAGAAGAATTTCTCCTCCTCAACGCACTCTCTCTCTCTCTCTAACTCACTCACTCTCTGCGCCTTTCTTTCTCTTTGTTTTCATTCCTTATTATACATTTTGCTACGGTTCTTTGCATCGTCTAAGTATTAGTTTTATTTGATACATCAAGTCAAAGTTACTTGTTATTATCATTAACCGAAGTTCGGTACAGGTAAAACAATTTTTGTTGGGCCATAAATATAAAAGATGAAAACAGAAATGAACAGACAAACCGCATTCAACATAAAAACAAAAGAATAGCATTCATATAGTTATATTAAACCATAATAATCACATAATCACCAGTGCAATAAAACAACATAAATGTAGCACTCGATGTAAATGTGAATGAAAATTGAAATACTTGCACCATTACCCAATAAAAAATGAACAAAATCATGGCAAATTGAACCAACCAAAAGTTGACATCTCAACACCAATGCACGTTCAGGTAAACGAATGAAATGTTTACACTACCAAATAAAATTGGTGTGAACTTTTCGCACAATTCATTTAAATGTTGCAACATGAATAACGATGAAATAGAGAAAAAACGACGAAAAATATAGGGGATTCAAACTTTGGGGTGCTGTTTGCTTGTTAAAATTGTTCGGTAATTATAAAAATGTGCACCGACTTGTAATTAAGGAAGTACACTTTATCGGTAAAGATATCATACACAGAAACAAGTATTCGAGTATGCTTACTCGCACTAGCGGTGTTAGTAGAGGCTTTACCCCTCAAAATGAGTTACGCACTCTATTTAACTCTATTTTTGGTGTTAGTTTCATCGAAGTAAAAGCATCACAGTGAAAAAAGAGATACATGTTTACGTTGCCGCATGCGTTCAACGAGTTATGTTTCGTTGCGTGCATATGAGTCTGTGTATACGCTAACGAATATGATTGCTAAGTGTATCGTCACATACGTTCGATGAAACTAACACCAAAAATAGAGTAAAATAGAGTGCGTAAGTCATTTTGAGGGGTAAAGTCTCTACTAACACCGCAAGTGCGAGTAAGCGTACTCGAATACTTGTTTCTGTGTAATATTCATATTCGATGGCAGTCGCATCAAAGTGTGGACATCGTAGCGTGAAATGGTAAAAGGCTGTAAAAATGTTCTTTTGCATTTCGAACGAAATAATCAAAATGTTCATGTTTCAATTTCAACATGGTCAATTCATCACAATGGTTCGGTACTTTATCGGAAAGAGTTGCAAACGAAAAAAAAAACATCTAGCGCCAAATGCAGAAATTAAATTGCATATAATTCATCGTTCCATTTAAATTGCAGTATAATTACATGGCTGGAAAGATAGTAAGACGCACCGAGTCTTAATCTCTCACAATAAGTGAAAATAAGCAAGGCAGAAAATGAAAACACGGTAAAATGAAGATAGAAACAGTCAAAGTAACCAAACCAATTTCATTTTTCTCATGCCAATTTCGAGACTCTTAATCATTTATTCGTTGAGTGTGTGTGTGTGTTTGTGGCTTTTTTGCATATACACGTATTAAATACGTTTGTACTACATATTGTGAATGAATGAATTGCATAGCAACAAATCCATATAATATGCGGCACATTGCAGTCAGTTTTACTTTTGCAAAAGAAGAATGAGTACCTCATTGCTAAGATTAATGGTTTGATGTGACACTTCGTTGAATGCACACAGCCATTTCAGCGATTTTGATAAAGGCGAACTGATAACAAGAGACAAAAAGACTCATCGCCTTTCTCAATCGATTGACTACAACATCCAATAGTATATACTTGAGCATCTAATTTAGAAGCGATGTGTGTCTGTCGGTGTCATCAAAGGATTCACGATTTGCAATTTTTCCATTACATTTTCGTAGAACAATTGTGACTATAAATCTACTAAATGAACATAAACATGCAATTTTCAGTTCTGGCATTGCTTGTATTTTCTCGCATCAATGTTCTGTTTTCTATTTAATTGACGAATCTCTAGAGTTTTGCCCAGAGTAAATTCATTTTCGAATCCCTTATGCCACTGCTTTTTTTCTACTTCCGCTGTGATTTGATGGGGATTCTTCTTCTTCTTCTTCTCATTTTCTCTACATTTTACAACCATAATAATAATTCAAATTCATTTCAGACAACATTTTCCAATTAAACATAACAACAGCCAGAAGCATATACACACGAATTTCATCTGCAAAAGATACTGTGTAATTAGAGATACAGTGTGAATTTCCGTTGAAAATAATTATTTGAAGCATTTCTCTTTTTGAAATTAAAAAAATGAAAACAAGAACCACTTGCTCTTCTGCTAATCATACAAACACAAAGTCCAGTTCAATTTCATTTTTGCATGAAAAATCACAATTTCGCTAAACGGTGCTCGTTGAAATTCGTTCTTTGTGACAGCCGTAGATTGGAATCTTGAAAAGGCCGGAAGACATCAATTAATTGTCGATTTCATTCTGTTTTTTTGAATTGTATAATGTAACGAAAGAACACATTAAGTATATTTAAGGGTAATTTGTATTCATTTCAAAAATCAAAAATTTGCATGCTCTCCGTTTGACCGAGGGAGGTGTGTAAAATGGGACACACTTATTTTCTCATTATTATCATCAATGAGACTTTTCATATTCAAAATGAATGGAATTCATATGCGGACAGTATACAGATTACACTCATTGTTAACAAAATGAATTTTGTTAGCATTGGAAGTGAGTCTAACGGCACCCAGCACTCTGTGCCAAACATTATCACCTATACTCACAATGTATAACTAGATTGCTGGCAGAAAAATATCGAAAATAACAAGAGCTCTGATTCAACAACATGAATTTTTGATTCGTAATTCAAGTCCATGAATTAATTTGTGCCCAGTCTTTCTCTCTCTCGATTCGGCAGCACTCTAATACAACTGCTTGTAATTTGAAGGATGAGTTGCCACTCGATGAATTTCGTAGATGTGTGTGTATATGTGTCTTTGCCTGTGTACATGCTTACTACTACTGTATGTGGACAATTCACAGTTATATGCGTTTGGAATAAAACCGGGCGGTAAATAAAGTAAACAAAGGCAGTAAATAAATGGCATACATACAATTTCTGATGAAAATAACGCAAACATGATTATACATCGTAACTCTCTTATTTCACACACGACGCGTGCATAGAGGCGAAAAAATAAATTCCACACCCGGACATGCATGTGTTGAAAATAAAATTGCACGCATGATGATTTGAGCATTAAGTGAATTCGTAAAATGGTCCGAGTTCAACTGAAAGAACTACATTTACAAAAGTTTTTTTTGCGTGTGGGTCTATGGGAGGAGGGTTGTTGAGACTCTGCACTCATCAACAGTGAGTGTTTGAGTGTGTGTATGTTTTCTTTTTCTCGCGTTTGCTTTGCCACCAGTAAAAAGGAGATATAGAGACCGGTGTGCAAAATGAACTGAGAGAGCATTCAAAATAAATATTCAAATGGTAGTTGTTGCATACAGCTATAAAAATTTTTTGTTGTTGATCTTAGGTATTTACTACTTTTATACAGCTCAAGTCGAGCCGTTGTATCATGTGGCAGAGTATGTTGTGCAAATAAGGCAGTCTTTACGATTACGGCTTAATGGATTCGGAAAGTATCCAGTAGTCGTTTCACTTCGAATTACACCTACGCGTAGACATAGTATTTTCTTCAGTTGCAGTTACAGTATGTACTGCTTTTTTCGTGTGCATCTTTGCGTGGGTCTCATTTTGCACTCTCATTAGCATTTTGCAGACAACATCCAAAAGGAAGTTAAGCAAAAGCAGAGACTCAACGAAAGATTTTCAAATTACAAACTTACATCGCACGTTTGACTCTGGAAGTTTCGTTTAAATCGAATGGTACGTGGCTATAAAAAGATTTCTAAGGTTATGATAGAATTCAAGTCGTTTTCGTCGTCGTCATCGTCGTCGCTTTTTTAAAAACTGAAATGAATCGTGAGCATAAGAAAGAAGACGAATAAATTAAAACAGCAAAAAGTGCTTCAACATTATTTTTCCGCTTATTTTCAATCGTCCATTGTTTCTTTTTCTCGACAATGTCGGTTTCATCCTTTTTATCTATCCGATAGATGCTTGCGAGATGCTGCAACCTACCCACTGTCGGCTGTTAATGTTGTAAATAATAGGAGTAGAACATTGTCTAGCCAAAGCAAAACGAACATCGTATACATTTAATGATGAGAATAAGCATCGTTTTGCTTGCGTTTTACTTGTCTCCGATGTAATCTCTCGGATTGAAATGATTCTTAACATTATTTAATGTAGTGTCAACAACACAATACATTTGCACTTTTATTCGCGGCCTGTATGCCTTTGACTCACATCATTTTCGATCAATACCACACAAATCTCTCTCTTGACACTTATCACGATTTTACTCCATTTGATCTCTTCAGATAGAATACAAAAATGTTCCAACTTTTGTACTCACTACAGTGCCAAAAATGTTTAAAAATTTTACTCTTATCGAATTTGAAATAAACAATGTTCCATAAATATATATTTAATGATAAATCTCTTTTCTTCTCGTTTCAGTTTCATAATGGTGGGTATGCTGTCTATGGGCCATAGTGAGTTGGGAATAGTTTTAGTTTGAAAGTTTTTCCTTTGAAGCAACTTTGTAATCAAACGTTTGTTTTGAAGAGATACGATTAATCGTGCGCCATTATTCATTTTCATTCGAGAGAGGAGGTTGTTTGTAAAGAAGTCTCCTGTCAAACACAAATTTAAATTTTAATGTGAGCAAAAGAGACTTAATAGCTCGTCAGACTTCTTTACAGTTCATTTCGTCATAAACTACGTACAATTTGTCGTTTTCTAGAATTAGCTATTTTTAATACCTAATTTTTTGTTCGACGAAAACCATTTATCAGATAGTTTTGGTTCTTTCAAACTGGAGGAATTTCCGTTGCTATTCGCGACATTTCCACATTTTTGACGACTCATTTGTAATACTTGTTTATTTAAAAATCGGGTTTTGTAATTGGTTGCTGTTATCTTGTCTGACGCACAATAATTTTAAAGCAAAAATACATTTTTTTATCATGTGTTGTTTGATTCATAAAATATAATTGTTTATTAAAAAAAACTCACAAAAAAAAACAATAAAAAGAAAGTCAAAGGATCTTCGAATTTTTTTTTTGTCTCTCAACCGAATACAAAATGAAATTGTTTTTGAATGAATCATGATTACAGCCAGAATAAATTACCGGTCAAAGTAACATTTGGTGAGAATGGCGATGAATTTTTACAAAATCACATTCGCATCGTACACACAAGCAATAATAACAACATTGATAAAACCCCAAAAGTATAAATTCCATTTTATGGTTGTTTGGAGTGTGTGTTTCAAATACAGTGTTTGCTATATGCAATTTTAAACACCATTACGAACACATGACCAATCCCTTCCAGCATTACACCGAAAGGTCCAACGTAGGTCTCATAAATGGCTTCCTCTTCCGACAAAAGACAAAATTGAACAACAAACGGGCGATAAATCGTCATTTCGTATTTATATATCTGCACGATATTGATTCTCTGGTTTTGTGTGTGAAAGGGAAAAAATGCTGAAACGCTTTAAAAAAAAAGTCCAATCATGACCATTTTAATGCTCTTATTTCCCCCCTAGGAATTTTCGTTATTAATTTTATCAGAAAATAAATAAAACCATCGTTCGAAATGTTGAGTTTTTTTTATATTTAGTTTTTCCTTCGATATTTATAGAGACAACAATATCATTCATAAAAATTAGATTAAAATCATTCGTGAGATAAACAGAAAGTCCAAGCATCGAATATAAAATAAACAAACTGTTCGAAAAGTAAATCAATCCGGTTTACGTACAAATGAGCTATTCTATTCTGTGATTCTAAAATACTTTATTGTATTCGATTCTATGAAAGAAATTGAACAATACGGTTCCCTTCAATGAGCTAACAAAATATGCGGGAAACCCAAACAAATGATTCCTAATTTTTCGATCCAATTCGAAAGCATGGCTCAGAATAATGCGTTGTATTACAATAATTGAACCAATTCATCTGAAAATACTGTTGTTTTTACAAGAATAAATATTTGTAAAACTTCAAATTTGTAATTGAAAAACCACAATGCCTTTCAATTGCATTGAAAACGCGAAAGGGAATATATTTAATCTCATAAATAGCAAATGAATTTTTTTTTCCATTTAAACGACTTTTGTTGTAATTCGATCAGCAAAGGTTACAAATTAATTTATTTTGGTTATTAACCTTTTTTCGTACAAAGAAGAAAATAAAATAATGAATGGAAAGGTGCTTGGTTTGATTTCTTCATTTCGTAAAAAATAGTACCATCGAAGAAATTGCGGCGGTGACGGATTTTACGCAATTCGTGTGAAGAAGCCGACAGCACCGGCAGACTGATATACCGTCCTGAAAAATGCTGAGACTATTAAATGCATTTACATCACACGCTAAGCTCAGTCTGCAATGTCGATATCATAATTTATTGATTCGCTTCGATGGGTTTGCTTGTGAAGTCTTTGTTTTTTTCTTCTTCGTTAAATATAAAGTGAGCGTCTGTAATTTTCTCTCGACAGTGATGAGATATTGCATTCTGCTGCGGCCTCTCGAAAATACGTTCATTTTCTCCTCAACGTGTCATTCTACATGTGGCCTGTACTTGTAGTCACATTTTTATTCCTACTGCTTTTTCTTTGGTGGGAGACTTCCAGGAGTGAATATGACAACAAGCAATTTTCCATCACTTTTGCTTTACTGGTGCATTTTTTATGTGCCGTCACCGTCATCAATAATAATCGGTAGCACGTTTGTAATATGGGCGCATGTAGAAAAACGATAACTTATCGATAATTCCAAATATTTTTCTCTTTTGTTCAACGCATCGCTTGAGCAACAAAAAGTGAGTTTTCTTTTATTTAGTTCGCCTGAAAATGTATTTCCCGTCCATAACGTCACATTTTTGGTTGCGCGTATCGTTTCTTTGTTGTTATCTCGCTTAATCAGGAGCAAAGTTGGTGCATGTTCAGTGCGCCGCAAAAATGAACATGAAAAGTGTGGAAAAAAACTTTTTGGGGTCGACATATTATATCTATACAGGGATCGGGTCGCGTATAATTTTATACTAGCATAAAAAACGCAGGCAGTATAAATATACAAAGCATAAACGCAGATGCAACATATCCATCGCTGTTCGCTATATATGAAGCATGCGAATACATGTTCGTGTGTGCATGTGACCATTGAGAGACGCACGCACATACATTATATTTATTGAGCGCAGCACAAAGCGAACAGCGGCGGATATGTTGCGTCTGCGTTTATACAAAGTATAAAAATTCTATATGCGACCCGGTCCCTGTATCTATATGCTGCGATCTTTATTAATGTTAATTGAAATTGACAGTTGCTTGTGGAGCACAATAAGTCACCATGGAAATAGAGCTAGAGAGAGAAAGAGAGAGATGAGCATTTGGTCGTCAAGTAGCGAGTAATAAAATAAAGTTTGATTCAAGATAAATGTGTTTTCAATGCACTAACTAAAATGACACATGAGTATCTTTATCACACATACACACACGTGTACACATGAAAAAACGCAGACACTATTTTTGAAATGGAACCAACCGAAGCACACAAAGCTAGAAAACTATGAAAATCACCAGAAAACACGCGCCATACAGCTATTCATCAATTTAAACGGGTTTAACTTCAATTGAAGCATATGATGCGCACTATTACACATCGTACACCATATGTGTTTTACATGCGAATATACTATTGAATTGGTTATATTCAAACAGGTTACAATATGCATTTAACCCAAATACAATAGAATTGCTACAGGTATAGCAAAATTGTGGCCAGAGAATGCCATAATTTTTTGTTTGCCTGTGCACAGTTGCAAAGCAAATTTTCAAAATGTGCACGTTTATCATGTTGAAACTTGTTAAACCCAAATGAGGATTTATACCATTTCATTCAGTTTTACAATCACACAAACTGTTCACTTTGTTTTGAAAGCTTTATTTGATGAACTCTCGGCTACATCTGGTGGCTACACCAGATCTGGTCGACTGAATAAATGTATTATAGATTCAAATACTTGTGTGTGATTAGAATTTTAGATATCGATTGGGGTTTTTTATTGTTTCTGGACAAATATGCGACATTTAAACAAAAAAATACACACATTATTGCTGGAGCCGTCTAAATCCAATTTCAATAGATTTTGTCTGGTATGTGGATTATATATTATTTGTGTGCATTTCATGCTACACACAAAACTTTCTATCTATGCAATGTTATTGCCGACCACTTCTCCCATTATTATTTAAGGAAAAATTCCATTGATTGCATTCAAAAGCATAATTTTCAGTACTACAAAGCCATGATATCTAACATAAGGTGGCTTACAAGAAGAAAAAAAGTACGCCAATGGTGAATGTACATCAATGGCACTCGAAATAGTATCATAGATTCTCGATAGAACAATTTTAGATCGTTATGAATTTTTCAATTGCAATATCTACCTACATATAGATACGTAAAAGAACGTGTAAGAATTGCTTCATAATTATTTCTATATGTCATTTTTATTGAGCAAATTTGGTTTATTATATTATTAAAGAAAAAAAAATCCAATCATAAAACGAAATAAAAACCGAAATGGAATGGAATTAATGTCAAATTCAAGCATTTCATATCACTGCAGAACCATTTTGCATATTCAAGTACATTATTCTATTCAAATTTCTCATCACCCACACTGTGCGTGGTGCGCGGTGAAAGGCAATCACATATTGAACATATGTGCCATTGCTCGGATGTAAGCAATTCCTGGTTTTATTCGAATTCCCTTTGGGTTTTTCACAATTTGTATTGTGAATTGAAAATTGGCTGGTGCACACTTTTGAGTTATAGACTGTCGAACGAGAGCGCAACATTTCAGATTTTGGCAATGAAATGTGTCACATGCGTATCTTGATTGCCATCGCCTTTTATAACCTTTTTTTTATAACGAAGGGTATCATTTTATGTATGCGAAATGTCAAACACCAACTAGGTAGACGAAATTTATAACATTTACTTCTAATTAAGTCGAAATCGATTTTATTTCTAAACCTTCCAAATAAAAAAAAGTAAAGTAATTTAAATTTGGCACAATCCATTGAAAATATTCGTTGATTTGGAGAAAAAAAAGATCTCTATTTGAAATTTCAGTGCACTTTCAAATAAAAAGGCGATATTTTGGAATTTTTCTTTCTCCAATGGTTGGCGTTTAATCTCATTGAGTTCGTGGCCAATTTGAAAAAAACACACTCTAAACAGCTACATTTCAAACGTCACATAAAATTCAATCGCAAATATGTTTCCAACATATTCGCCACTCTTGTCTAGACATTTTGCCAATAACATTTTGTTGCAACGGCAACAAAAACGCATTCGTATTTGATTGAATACGAAAGCTGATGTTGATTCTTACTCATAGAATTTCTGTTTTTTAGTTATAGTATGTCTTGTACAAGTTTGTTGCATTTGT